AAATTTGAGGTTTTCTAGATTTTTCTCGAAAGCGGTAAGTTTTGTCAAAAACAAAATTTAAACCAAAGTTGTAGACATTAAAATTTTCTACAACAGTCGTCATGATTTTTTTTTCAAGAGATACCAGTCCTGAGATATCGCGATTCTAAGTGTCACATTATATGCACATTAGGTATATACTATTAGGTAGGTGCCACCTATTAGGTAGTGTTCTCGACGCATTTTTTTACCGTGGTTTTCCCTGTAGGCCTATTCCACTAACTGTCATGACAATTTCAGGATAATTTAAGGGAACAATACCCGTCAAGTTCAAGATATTCTTTTATTTTTTCTTCATTCTCTTCTTCTTGTTGGATGTACATAAATTATTCAAATCTGCCTGAGTCATTGATATAATAATTTTGGTTCATTCGCTGGAACTATCATAAATTGATCAAAGATAATCTTTGAACCCGATGATGAGAAATACTACCGTCACTGTCGTAGTAGCCCATAGCCCATAATTTCTGCGTAGATAGTGAAAATATTTATCAAAAGTAACGCTAAAGGTTTCTTCTCGATCCCACACAACGTGATATGTAGTTGGTATCCCCAATCAATAATGTAAGTATCGCTTGTACCATCAACCTCAATATTGAGTGGGTGACAGCAATTGAAAATTGGTGACTTTGTTGTTTTACGCATTCTAGATGCATCGAAAACTGATAAGGGGTAATGGGCTAATTCATACTTAAAATTTTTTTCATCTCATCCTTGAAAGCTTCAATAATACAGGGTCTATAACTACTTGTTCATCGTAAACTTTCACGGTGCTACTCGTAGCTAAAAGAGAGTACTTTTTCAAAGTGTTTTAATCCTATATTAATTATTGTTTCACCTACCATTCTAGATATGGAAGCAATTCCAACTTTACAAGACTGATGGCAATTAATCATATCGTCACCAACAACTCTAGAAGCAATAGATACGATTTTATTAATTTTAGGAAAAGGATCATGTGATGAAAACCAGTCTAGACTTTTTTAAATATCTTTAGCATCTATTTACGCCGCGAACCACTTGCATCTTCCTGCTGATCTGTTATGTCCATTTAAACATTAGCAAGAACTTCCAAACCTCCACATATAGTATTCACTGCGTGTATTCCGTAAACCCATTTACTTATCACACTTTTTTTCGTACTTCTTCCTAGAGAAATGCCACCATCTTGTTTTATAGATTTCATCATAGATTGTGCAATAATCATATCTGTTGAAGTTCCATAACAAAGTTAATCAGAAAGTCAAACAGTAAAAAATTCTTCTGTAAACCTTTGATAAATACATTACATCGTTTAATTGAATCATGTCTTAGCTTAAAGTAAATGCCCAGATGCAAGGAAACATGACAGCATTTCTTTAACGCAGTTCAAATATGCTTGTCAATCTCCCATACGTTCTGCTCTTATAAACTCCTTTGTCATGGGCACCATCCGAAAGTATTGTACCCATAAATGTGCAGTTGGCCCTTTTTTCTAAAATTTAATTAATTTGTTTTTAAACTGATTAAGTAATTGTCCACATATTTAATCAGTTTCTTTAATGACATATGAAAGAATGTTATTTAGAATATCTTCAACGGTAAAAATATTTGCATCTAATACATTATCAGGGGGGAGTCTCTATTGCCATTCGAAAAAATCTTAAAAACAACATTAAATCGTGGACTGAAGTAAATGAACAACTACTAATACTGGAAATGAAAAAGAATGGGCACAATATCGTAATTGTCGGAGTATATGCCCCAAACGAAGATACAAATCCAGAAAGTAAAGACGATTTCTACGACAATATGAATGAAATACTCTCTGAAGTTAAAGAAAACTGTGAAATCTTTATACTAGGAGATTTAAACGGCAGAGTAGGGACAGAAGAAAATAGCAGAGTCGTAGGAAGATATGGAGAACAAATAACCAATGACAACGGAATGCGTCTTAGAGATTTTTGTGAAATAATGTCTCTCAAAATTATGAATGGATTTTTTCATCATAGAGACATCCACAAATTTACATGGATACAACCTACTAGGAATCTGCGCTCGATAATCGACTTTGTAATCCAACGTCAAACTTCCCAGCTGAAAACAACTGACGTAAGGGTATACCGTGGATCAGAATGTGGATCCGACCATCATTTACTTATGGCCAATGTGATAGTTACCTATCGCAAAAACAATAACACTCAGGTACAGAATATAGAAAAGGGACAAAAAGTAACATCTCCTAAATATAACCTAGAAAGCTTAAAAGAAGATTCAACAAAATTTCTTTACAAATTACGACTGGCCACAAAATTACAAAATGTGGATCGAGAAAATATAACAGCGGAAGAATTATACCAACAACTTAAAAAGTACATTCATGAGGCTGCAAGTGAAGCTTTGGGGTATAAAGACAAACATGAAACAAAAAATCAAGAATGGTGGTCGGAGAATATGCAAACGTTAGTAAACAATAAGAAAACTGCTTATCAGAAATGGATGTCAACGAGAAAGGAGGAAGATCACAAGGTATATACGAAATTAAATCGAGATGTAAAAAGAGAAGTAGTGAAAAGTAAAAATGAGATGTGGGATCGAAAATGTGCAGAGGTGGATAGGTATATGGGTGGAACAAGAGTTGGGCAAGCGTGGAAGGTGATAAAGTCTCTCCGGAGGGAAGGAAAGGAAAAATCTAACTTAAAATTAATAGATCTGAAACAGTGGAAACAGCATTATGAGGTCTTATTGACAGAGGATAGACGTAAATTCCAAGATATCGAAATGGAAGAAATATCTGAACATACACAAATAATTGAGATAACAACCGGAGAGTTAAGCGATGCCCTCAAAAGATCGAAAAACGGTAAAGCAGCAGGACCTGGAGACATCCCAATTGAGTTGGTAAAGTATGGACCAAAAATATTACACGAGATGATGGTTAAACTATTTAATAAATGCTTAAAAGGACAAAATATCCCTGATGATTGGAATGTTGGATACATCAGCTCAATATACAAAAAAGGGGATAAACGCAATTGCTCTAATTATAGAGGAATAACTGTTACTAGCTCAGTTGGGAGGTTGTACGGTCGAATAATAAAAAAACGAATTGAATCAGAATATGAAGACATAGAGGAACAAAATGGATTTCGGGCAGGAAGATCGTGCATTGATAATATATTCGTTCTGCAGCAGGTAATCGAAAAACGGAAGGCAAGGAATCTATCTACCCACCTATTGTTTGTAGATTTAGAGAAGGCATATGATACGGTACCTTTGAAAAAACTATTTTATACATTGACGAAAGTAATTCTCAGTTGAGAGTATGTGGATGCTATCGCAAATATATACAAAAATGCAAGAAGTGTCGTTAAAGAAGGAAACTTTATATCTGAATCATTTCCAATAACCAAGGGGCTTAAACAAGGATGTTGTCTGTCTCCGACCCTGTTTAAAATATACATTCAATCATCGCTAGAGCAGTGGAGAAAACAAGTATCCGGAATGGGAATAGACATAGGCGGTGGTGAATGTCTAACAGCTTTATTTTTCGCAGATGATCAGGTAGTCGTAGCGAATGACGAGGAAGACATGGACTACATGTTTAGAAAACTAAAGAAAGAATATGAAAAATGGGGCCTCAATATGAATATGGCAAAGACAGAGTATCTTAAAATAGGAGATGGTGAAGAAGATCCAGAGTTAGAAATTAGAAACACAAAAACATGCAATGAATATAAATATCTCGGATCTATAATATCTAAAGAAGGCACTACCCAAAGAGACATCGAAAACAGAACACAGCAGGGAAAAAAAGTGGTAAACATTCTAAACTCTCTACTTTGGTCTAAAGATATTAGACAAGAAACGAAATTGACAATCTATCGAACCTTGGTAGAGCCAATTATGACTTATGGGGCAGAGGTTTGGCAGATAACGCAGAAGGATAGAGAAAGAATAGAAGTAGTAGAAATGGATTTTCTAAGGAGAGCGTGTGGTATATCCAAAAAAGATCACATCAGCAATGAAGATATTAGAAGGAGGACAAATACTGTATAGTCCAGTGTAGATAGAATTGAAACGAGACAACTAGTGTGGTATGGTCACGTGAAACGAATGAATGAAGATAGATGGCAAAAGAAAGCTTTAAATTACATACCACAACAAAGAAGAAGAAGGGGAAGGCCTTCAGTTGCCTGGGAAGAAAATGTACGGCACATAATGAGAGATAGAGCCATCAGAGAAGACGAATGGATGGACAGAAAACGATGGCGGTCGAAATGCGAGAAACGGCGGAGGCTGTAGGAACCTCGCTTATATATATATATACATTATCAATAGCAAGTTGTTTTAATATACTTAATGCTAAAGTGAGTTGAAGTATTGTATGAGCTCGAATTGCTCTCACGTAAGCATGATCATTAAACATTTTCTCTTAGACCCAAGGCCATGTGGGCAGAGGCGATTAAGTTAGGGACTGACTATTACTCTTTTGAATTAATGTTTTCAGAATAGTATAATATATATATATATATATATATATATATATATATATATATATATATATATATATATATATATATAAGAGACACAAGTAGGTATGTATACTTTTGTCTTAAGTACCTGATATGTATACATGTGGCTTATATGTACATATCATGTATAATGTGACTCTTAGAATCGCGATATCTCAGAAATGGTAACTCTTTGGTTTAAAGTTTTTTTTTATAAGACTTACTATTTTCGAGAAAAAAAACTAAAAAAACCTCAAATTTTGACCTGTGACCCCGAATAGCTTTTGTAGCACACATATGATCGATGGGGTTTTTTGAAAACTTTATTTGTAATGATAAACACCAGCTCTTCACCAATATTTGGCTTTCCGGAAATTTTTGTTATTTGACCACTAAATTTATGTCTAAATTGACCGGATTATAAGGTTTAGTAAAGTTTATAATGATATTGCTCTATTTACTTTTTAGGAGCTACAAGTGATATACTCCAAAAAGTTGATTTACCAGTAGTCGACTTAGATCATTGTAGAAATGTATACAAAAATCAAAGTCGAGCTCGCATTACCTACAAGCAAGTTTGTGCTGGAGGTAAAAACAATCAAGATTCTTGTCCCGGTGATAGTGGAGGACCACTTCATGTTGCCAGAGTGATTGATAATTCTGCTCGTTACATCCAACATGGTGTTGTATCTTTTGGACCCCGTGAGTGTGGCTTAGAAGGTTATCCAGGAGTTTACACACGGGTGGCTTATTACATGGACTGGATATTAGATAATATTAGACCTTAGGTTTATATAATTTTATTTACTCTTTTTAGATAAGAATGGATATTTGGTTGTAAATGACATGCTAAATAATGTACCATTTCATTATCAGAATACAAATTTCTAACGCTAAAAAGCAAATTAAATGTGATATATTTTATTAGAGTTATTAAAAATATTGAATTTGTATAAATGATCTTTTTCGTGTTTTTATTTTAAATTTAGACTAAGGACAAATATATGTAGTGGTTTAGAAGTTTATTATCAGCTGGTTGATTACAAAACACTTAAAACAATTGTCATTTTTAAAGTTATTTGCGTTTAATACTTGTTTTGCGTAGTTGTCTGAATTAGACATTCCTTTAAGTGTCCCTCTGTTAGGTAATTTTGATTGATATCTAAATTTGCTTTACATATATGTTTCTTATATGTTTTTATTTTTAAAAGAATTTTTTACTATAAAATATAATGTTTTTGGATAGTATTTTTGAAACAGAATAAAACAAATGAAACCAAATATAAGCTCTTTATTTAACACTTTGCGGCTTTGTGGCTTCACGGTGAAATCAGCTTTAAATAATTTTTTTCCTACTGCCCGAGTAATCGTACGCTGGGACCACCAGACGGAATGTGATGTATATGTCGTGAAGATGATACACAAGGGAATGAAAGTGAGGTTATTTATTGTTGTAAATAAATGAACATTCTTCTACCGCTAAAATGTATGTATTATGTTAAATTGTTGACTAGAAGACGTATGTATGTATTACCGTATTAAGTCTTTATGATCTATGTAGATAACTAAGTGAATTTTAATATTTTGATTGGTGGTTCCAATAGGTGCCACTAGGCCGATCAGTAACTAATAGGTATGTTTTGTTACACAACTCCAAAATGAAAAGACGTCTTGATTTAAATAAAACAAGTAATGACGCTTACGCTTTACTATAAGATATCCCATCGGATGGATCTGATCTATCCGAGTTACCTATTTTAGATAAACACAACGATATTTCAGACAATGAAGACAGTGAGCATGATAGTGATGGTAAAAATAAGGTATCAGTTGTTATTCTTTTTTGTTAGTTTTAAATGTTCCTGATACTTTAGAGACTTTCCTCGAGACTTACTTCATTTGTTTCGTGAGAACCTGATGAATACACTTCTTTCCTAAACTAATTTATATGTAGTCCAAGAAAATAACAAAAACTCCCACAACAGTTGAAGAAATAAAGTGTTTTTTGGGAATAAACCTTTTGATAGTTGTGAAGAAGTTGCCCAGTTATAGAGATTTCTGGTCTGCATATTTTGTTATCAGGAATCAATTTATTTCTTCATGTATGTCGCGTGACAGATTTGGATGGTTGCTTACTTATCTTCACATAAATGACAATTTATTACAACCTAAGAAAGGTAATGGCAATTATGATAAACTTTAAAAAGTTCGGCCATTACTAGAGCAACTTTCAACTACTTATAAAAGTTCATTTTATCCCAGCAGGCAACAACTAATAGTTTAGTACGCCACTAAACCAGTAGTATGCCACTACAATAAAAGTAGTTTACGCCAATATATGCCGATAAAGCCCATAAAAAGAAGATAAAAGGTATGGGTACGTGCTGATCAGTCAGGATATGTTTTACAATTCCAAATATACACTGCAAAAGTAAAAGATGTAAGATAGCAAAACCACGGGACAAGAGTAATAAAAGATCTTACAAGAGATTTAGTTGGAAAAAATTATAAAGTTTATTTCGACAACTATTTAATTCTGTTGCATTACAATGCGATTTACTAAAAGACAAAATCTACGCATATGACACAACTCGAAAAGATAGAAAAGGTTTTCCAAATGAACTTCACACAAATAAAAAAATGAAAAGGGGTAACTTAAACTGGAAAATGATTGAAGACGACATGCTAGCTTTGCAATGGATGGATAAAAACCCATTTATTTTCTAAGCAATTTTCACAAACCTGAAGAAAATGTCGCTGTGAAGAGGAAAGAGAAAGATAGGACATCAGTAGAAATTAATTAAAAGCAATTAGTACAAGATTACAACAAATATATGAGCTTCGTAGAAAAGTCTATGTATGTTAGTATCTTGCTACGATATGATCTATTTATTTAAATATTTATTTATATATCTACTATTTCAGGAGCCCAAAGTAAAGTTGGTATCTCGACAGGGGATCATTAAAGATAGACAATCTGACGTGGCCGTATACGTAGTGAATCGAGGAGCTGGCATTACCAGATACTTTGTTAAGAATGGTTATGTTAACGTATATGTCGGAAACCTGGTAGTATATAATGTTTTACCAAATATCCCACTTCGAGTATATGAAGAGTACATTAACTCGATTATGCAAGAGGCTGCACCGGTCGTCATAGCTGGTGACCTGAATGCGAAGCATTGTTCATGAAACCCACGAGTGCAAGATGGGAGAGGGAAATACCTATTATAATGGATCCATGCCATGAGGTTTACCGTGTTAAATGACGGTAAGGCCTAAATTCGTGAGAGGTAATAGTTAGTCCTTTCTGAACATCACACTGGCTTTAACGACATTTCTAAACAGGGTCATAAGCTGGACTGTTTTGAAAGAAAAATTGCTCAGCTTACACAAGTATGTGAATTAATTACTATTTATAACTGGGAATAAGCCACAATTAAAGATAAAAAATACGTTTATTGACGTTTCAATTTCCAATTCGGAAATCGTTCTCAAAATACAAACAGTAAATTAAACAAATTTTGTTTTTTGTTTAATTTAAAACAAAAAACAAAATTTGTTTAATTTACTGTTTGTATTTTGAGAACGATTTCCGAATTGGAAATTGAAACGTCAATAAACGTATTTTTTATCTTTAATTGTGGCTTATTCCCAGTTATAAATAGTAATTAATTTACAATGCCACAAGAAAATAGCTTCAGAACAAGTATGTGAGTTTTGAAATAGCTAGCAAAAGACAGAAACGTAAAAATGGGGATATCAATCTAAAGAGATGTTTAAATGAGGAGGTTTTTATAGATGCCTTTGGCTTGATTGGTCCAGGATGTGAGGATGTGTGTGAGTTAATTGAGGGTCTGAGTGATGCATAGGAGTTGGCTTATGTAAGAACACATGGAAAAGAAGGTATGAATGAAAACAACCATACTGGTGGAACGAGCAACTTTGAAAATCTAAGGATAAATTGCATGAGAGTAAAAAGAGAGTGTAAGAGGTTAAGAAAAGTACAAGCAGTAGATTTGAAAGAGAGAATAAATGAATTAAATCGAATGCAAAATGAATACAGGAATGAGATAAGAAGATATAAGAAAGAAAGGTGGAGTAACCCTCTTTAGGATCTCAAAAGGAATATCTGAGGACAGGGCTTCAAGATTGTCTATACCGAATTGAAGGAAAAAAGACACCCTACCCGCTGCCCGAGGAGGAGAAACTCCGTTTATTACGGGAACTCTTTCCTCAGGTGGAGGATAGGAGTGAAAGGGATATTGGTTTCGTAGATGCGGAACCTTTCACTGAGTTGGAACTCGGTGAGGCTGTTGGATGGATGAAGATCCGAAAAGCATGCGACATAGATGGAGTCACGCCGAAGACAGTAAGACTCGCCGCACTAAAATACCCGCAGGTTTTTCTGAGATTGCTAAACAAACTGTTTGAACAACAGCAGTTTCCAACAATGTTGAAAGAAGCTAAGGTTGTACTTATACCGAAAAGTAAAAGTGAAGAAGAAGAGGTACGATTTTGGTACGAATGTGCCTTCTTAGTTCGATAGCTAAATTGTACGAACAGCTTATAAAAGGCAGCCTTGAGCGAGAGCTAGAAGAACAGCATGCGCTGAGTGACCGCCAATATGGTTTTAGAGCCAAAAGGTCCACCATAGCTACGGTCACAGAAGTAACCTTTTTAGTCACGCAGGACACAAAGAGATGGGGGCTCTCATCCTGCTTGACATCAAGGATGCTTTTAATACGGCATCATGGGAAAAAATCATGTCCAGACTGAGAGAATTGGGCGTTAGTGAGTACCTGGTCAACGTAATTAAGAGAAACTTTACTAACAGGTCCATAAGAGAAAAAGACACCAGCATCAGTTTGTCGCATTAGTAGGTGGATCAGAGAGAACGATCTACAGCTAGCGGCTCAGAAAACTGAGATGTTAGTTCTCAAAGGGACCTGGGAAATATATTGTAACGGCTAGCTCATTAATTGCACATTGAAACCCCTCAGGAGTGTTGTTCGGCATAAACTAATTAAATTTGAGAAATCGGTAATTATTAATAAAATAATTTTTTAACACATATCTTTATTAATTTATACGTTAATAAAATAACAAATCAAAATGTAATAACAATTAAAAATTGAGGTTCTAGCAACACAGAATTAGGCATCTACATACAAAATTCAAAGAAAGAAAGAAACTTAGCTTAACTCTATGAAGAATCCTGCTGTTGCTCTCTTCTCAACTCAAACCATAAACTATTTGCAAAAACCATGCCTCTAAACCAAAACCATATGGATTTTCTTGAATCCAAAAACCATGTGGATTTTCAAAACAAAACAAAGGTAGATTTTCTTATACCAAAACCAAGGTCAACGTGAATTTTCTTTAACCATAACCAAGGTCAACGTAGATTTTCTTTAATCATAACCAAGGTCAACGTAGATTTTCTTTAACCATAACCAAGGTCAACGTGAATTTTCTTTAACCAAAACGAAGGTGGCTAGAAAAACAAAAGCGGATAAAAAATTCGTCATGGCACGAGTTTTGTCCAACAACAGAAGAATTCTGGCAAGCGGAAAGCTCTTCTTTCTAAGAACTGCATACCGATCCCGAACTCTCTGATGTTGCCAAAACTCACAAATTAATAATTGCAATTGATAGATTAATTTTTAAATGAAAAACGAAAAAGGGAAAGTTGTGCGATTAATGCCAGTGATTTATATTGAATTATTATTATTACAGCAAAGGTAAAAAGAAAATAAAAATTGTAAGCAGTTTTAAGTACTAGCGTACACAAAATTATACGAAAAACTAACAGTGCTAATGTTCTTGATTAATCTATTAAAATATGTTGTCGTTGTAAAAAGAACAAGTATTAAACTTACCCAGACTGTTGGAAGTTTCTGACCACGAATATTTATTTTTGACTACCTTGTCGTTTGCTGGATGTATAATCTAGGAATCCATGATTGTACGGAAGACGCTGGTCATATGTTTGTCTGGACGGAAAACATTGCAAAAAGAGGAAGTGATGAAATTGCATCAATACTCATAAAATTTGTAAGCACAAAGATAGTTGAAGTAGAACATCTCGTTTTCTTCACGGATAATTGTCCCGGGCAAAACAAAAACTGGCTTTTAATGTCTTTATGGTTCCAGCTAGTGAAGGAACAAAAGTTTAAGTCTATTACACACCATTTTTTAGTCAGCGGACACACTCACCTTCCCTCCGACAGGGATTTTGCTCTTATAGAAAAACGACATAGAAAGTATGCTCCGCTTGTGTACTCTCCTGAGGAGTGGCATAAAATTATAAAAGAATCTAATAAAAAGAAGCTCTTCAACTTAACTGTTATGAAGCAGGAAGATTTCCTCAATGTACAACCACTCTTAGAGAACATTAAAAAGAGTACTCGCACTGATGACCAGCAGCCTTT